AACACAAGACAAGCCAATTTGAAACAACTCAGCAAACAGATCAAGAGCGCCCAATTTTGAAAACCCAAGAATACACAAAATAGAACTACAAGGAACATAAATTCAAGGGTGAAGAGACTTACTCATAACCGTGGATTGATAATCGATGGAAGTTCGAGAGAGCACAGGAGAAACCGCCGAGAGAGTAAGGGTCTTTTGCAGAGAGAATCCTGGGCACAGAGTAATTCGAAAACTGAGAAGGTGGAAAAAAGATGAAAAATACGCTAAGTATGGGATTTATACTTTGGAGATTGAAGGGTGGAAAGATAAGGACCGTCGGATTAAAGGTGGATCCAACGATGAGGAGTATTAATTGGCACGGAGCTCAAAACATACGCGTTAGGCGAGGAGGCGCAATAATTAAAGCGCCTGACACATATTACAGACGTGTCGCGTGGCAGAAAATGGGTGCGACAGAAAGGCCTTAAAGCAGATAACTTTATTTCTAGTGATTAATGGGGAATTATTCGAAAAAATAAACGGAAAGTTTGCCAGCTGGTCGATACCTAAAGACGAACCATCCAGAAGGACGATAAATACTAATTCACTCTTAGATCGAGTCATTCAGGCTCGACCAGAGTGGGGGGGACTAGATGATATGGGATATTATACCCACAAGGCTGAGCCGGTCTCCTGATCGATCGAGGAGGTCGTATTATGAGGAAGCCAAAGAAATCGAGCAGTCAACAAGTCGACCGAGCAAGACTGTCGACCAAACTATCCTTCGACCAGATGCATGATCGAGCAACCTATTCGACCTCAACAGGTCGATCACTTCGAGGACTTAATACCACGCTGTTTGGCATAGTCATAAGCGCGTGAAGGAAGCCTCTGACAGAGTTCCAGGAGAATATTTACCCCATGTGCAGGGGGACACGTGTCGAGAAAGCAGTGGTGGATAGAGATAACCACCTCTGACAGCCTACCCCATGTGCAGGAGGACACGCGTCCAAAGAGGATTGGTGCAGGCGATAGTGGAGACGGCCGCCTCTTACACACGCGTTTGGTGTGTACGGACGGGCAGCTAGGGCAGACAACTCATCAAATCCGGGCAGCCCTAGGTCAGGTATCTCACCCCTATATAAAGAGGGTGAGCCTTTCTTCTTCAACACGATCATTCTATTACTCCTGAGAATTGATTGAATACACACTGACTTAAGCATCGGAGGCTCTTCACCGGAAAACCCCTCCGGTGTGAGAGTTCTTTGTAGGTACACGACGTCCAACCGGCGAGAAGGAAGGCGATTACTCAAGTTCCAGCCGGTCGAGGAGTTTTTGTGTTACCAGAGTTGTAAGTCACGGGGGAAGAATAATGCGTCTTCTTGTGGCAGTTGACGTAAATGAATCCCTTCTCCAGTGTGCTAAGTTAAGACTTGGGGATCAAGCTGTCAGTGCAAGCTTTAAATATGAAAAATTAGTAAACCATTGCCATTAATGTGGTTTTATTGGTCATCTGGACCGTGAGTGTTCTAAAAAGTTAGAGGATATCCACACAAACTCAGTCAAAGAAGGTTAGTTTGGTGAATGTATGCGTGCTACTGAAAGCCGTCACTGGGTTGGGACTAACATCACAGGCTCTCAAAGTCCACCACGAGCTAATTCTGCCTTACCTCCAACACCAGCTAATGCCCCTCTATCGCCTCACAGTCAGGGGAATGCCAGCAATCAGATAATTCCCTTACCTAGCTCTTCCTCTCAACAAAAATTCCAGACATCAGCCGCCTCAACTTCTCAGCAAACTCTAGCTACTGCTTTGAAACCCCTGATTGCTACACAAAAACCTCCATCTTCCAGTCTTGCAATTCCAGAAACCAACCTTAAAATCCACTTCTAAACTCCCCAGGGATCATGGATTTGGATTCAAATCAAGCTCCACTAATACCAACAAGCAATTCCATAGGCTCAGAACAAAATATGCTTAAAGCCAGTTCTAAAACTTGGAGGAGATCATCTGCTAGAACTGGCAGACTTCAGAGATAAACTGAAACCTCAACTCAGATGGTGATGAGTAACATTGGTAAAAGGCCAAGACTGAACCAAGACCAATCTACAGAGGGAGAAACTGTCAATAAGAACACCAATGAAGGTAGCAAAAAGCAGAAAATTGAAAACAAACATGTGGGGGTGGCCAACCTTGAATGGCACCTAAGTTCCCAATGCTAGTTGTGGTTTGGAACTGTAGAGGGCTGGGTGGAACTGTAGAGGCCAACCTTGAATGGCACCTAAGTTCCTTGAATGGAACACCAATGATGTATCCTTGTGTGCCTCTCCCTAAAAAAAAAAAAGTGAGTTCGCGGGGAAGCACGGATTAGGCTCCTCTTATTCTGAGCCATTCGTGGATTGGGATAATGAGCCTGGGAAACCGGTTTAGAAAACTCGAGGAAACCCCTCGAGGTTAAACCTAGATCATCTCGTCCGGAAACCTCGTTTGGAAAAAGAAGCTTACGAAATGAGTTCGTGGAAGTCGATAGGATTAGGCTCCTCTTGGCTCGGTTAATCTTCTAGAGAGATCGGGTCAATGAGCACGGGAAACCGGCCTAGGTGACTCGGAGACAAATCCCGAGGTTAAACCTAGGTAATAATCGTCCTAACGGCTCTCATTTGGAAAAAGTGGCTCATTTAAATAAAAAAAAAAAAAGAAAATCGGGGAGTTGGCTTATTGATCTCGTGCTTATTATTTTTATGTTTTGTAGATCATTTATAGTTTTTGCACGTATATGTGAACGAGGGAGTTTGACTCGAGCTATCATTTGCGGAATGACTTGGGACGGGTTTTTGTTTCGTTTGATCCATTATGTGGGAACCGTGTTTCGGATTGAATTTTTATTTTGGGATAACCGAATGATAATGAGAGTTTCATTTTTCTTGTTCGTTAATCTTGGACTGTTCGATATATCTCTTTGAGCTATTTGTTATTTTGTTTGCTTGAGGACAAGCAAAAAGCTAAGTGTGGGGGAGTTGTTTGTTATGTTTTTGTGCGTATTTTTATGTGTTTATATGTG